TAATTATCGTCATTGTACTCTGCCTCCTTCTTGCTGTACAGTGCCCAAAGCAGGGTATCACACTCCAGACTACCAACACACTCACAACTAAGCAGGGAGTGTCAGTCAACAGCAATTGCACTCACTGAGCAGACGTGCATTTAAACGTAACTACTGACAGAGAGAGAAACTCAGGCCCTGTTCCTAAATGGCTAAAGCTCATTTCTCAGAGATACACAATATCCCTTTAATCATCTGAACTTGGAAGCCAGTTCTAACAAGAGACTGGATAGCTCAAAATAAAAAGCTCCCTTAACTGCATCACAGAAAAATGCAAATAATAAATATTTAGAATATATTCGCTGTTCAGTGCCTCTAGCCGTTGAATCAGCACTGATCAGAAATAATCTCAATTCTGAAGCATTTGATTAGCAAAGAATATAGAAATGGTCTTAGCAAAACAGGTGAGGAGGGGATATATTCGTCTTCAGTGCTAGTGCCACAGCTGACAGCCCAGCACAAGAATAGAAGGCACAGTGCCCACATTTCTGGCTGAGAGCAGATATTCCTTCATAAGAAATTTTAAAAGCAACGGTATAATCAGTTTGAATGACAATCCTATTAAGAGCTGTGTCTTTAAGCCTTCCTTAAACAATGCTGAAACATTTCAACAGGATGATATTAGGAAACAGCAAAATACCAAGGGATTTTCAGCCCAGTTAAACGGAGGGCTGATGCTGGGAGAAGGCAAGTTACTAGGGTCACGCAGCCAGACAGTGGGATATGGGGCCTCCGTGGAGACCACCTTTGGTTTCCCAAGGACTCTGTCTTGTTGCTAGTCATGCTGCAGTACGTAACGCTGCTTTGGCTACAGGTGTGTACTGCACAGGTTTTCCAGGTGCTGGAGGAAAACCTAAAGGAGACGAAAGCCCAGGGCAGCAACTTACTGCATGGCTGCATTCAAGCTTATTTGCAGCGTTATGACCTGTGTGCAGGTCTCATACAAGATATATTTATAATGGTGTAACATACTGACCTTGAGTAAATCAATAAGCACACAACTTTTGGTGGTTTCAGTGGTCTTATTTACATGCATAAATGAGGCTTATCCACAGCCAAAGCCTTTGAACTAGATTTTCCATATGTTTCTGCTATCGTTTACTTCATTCTGTCTAAGAAGGAACAAGAAAACTCACAGCTTAAATTGATAATTTGTTAATGTTTCACATTGTACAAAACCACAAGCACAAAGATTAAAGAAGTACAAAATATATAATATGTTTGTCACATGATACAGTTAGCAGGAAATATTTTAGACAATTTTCCCTCAGAAAAGGCTGGTTCATTAAAAGCAAAGGTATTTGCAAGGAAATGTGTCAATTCATTTGCCATTTAAAAGAGCAGAGAGTGTTTTGAAATTGCTCAATTATTCTATTTAGATATTTTCAAGATGAAGAAGTTCTGGTTTAAAGTTCAAAATTACCTTTTTTTTTTCTTTTTCCCCCAAAGACTAATATAGGTATGTAGAAAATCAAACCAAAATGAAATATTTCAAAATTACTGATACTAAATATTTAAGTTGATCTGATTCACCTTCCCCCAACCTTTATAAAATTTTTAAAATAGTCTTAATAGTAATGAGTCCCCTTTTTTCTGTGGCTTACTCTTCCCAAGGCTTTACTCAACGATTTCTAACATTATAGACTATTCTTATAGAAAAACTAATTATGAAGCCACAGACAGACGTCTTTAACTTAAGATGAAGAATTTTTTAAAATAGTCTTAATAGTAATGAGTCCTCCTTTTTCTGTGGCTTACTCTTCCCAAGGCTTTACTCAACGATTTCTAACATTATAGACTATTTTCTTATAGAAACTAATTATGAAGCCACAGACAGACGTCTTTAACTTAAGATGAAGAATAGGTATCTGGAAGACATAAGAAATGCTGGCAGTGATCCTGATTTACAAGAAAGTATTAAAATCAACAACTCAAGGCCCAAGGCAAAAAAATGTTCTAAATAGAGATAAAATGCAACATAAAGCAGGGGTTTTCAAATTTTTTCTGGGTGAAATAGGGTGCATTGCACTTGCTGAACTCTGGAATACTACCAAAAACAAGGATATAGATGTTCAGAAAAGAATGTCCTTGCAAAACTGGCAATAAATAGCAGCAACGGTATCATATATATACATAAGAGTTTCTCCACTCACAGTCATCAACCCACTGGCCTCTTATAAAATTGTACTCAGTGTCTGGCAGAGGTTTATACCACAGAAGAGTATTGCCTCAGCTGTTTTAAGTACACTGGACAGGTTTGTTGCACTTGAGGGGAGATATGTCCTTGGTGGCTTGTCTTCTGCATCTATCGGTCAAGGCAAGATCCTCGCCATCCAATAAACTGCCTTCTTCATGCCCCTTGATGCACAACCCCAAAAGACTTTTTGACATCTCCCCCTGTCAGGTCAGCATTTTACTTTCCAACTAATAAGAATACGATTAATCAACAAGCACTCAAAATTCTGCAGTTACCAAGGACATAAAACCCCCAATATTTAAATAATCTATTTTTTCAGTAAGCTACTTATTTTGTCTAACCCATCTGAGCTTCTATGAAAATTGACCCTTTACACAAAAAGGTTATGTACAAAACTGCGAACTGGGCTGTGGGTCTGGCCAGGGCTGGTCTCTGACATGAATAGCCAGTTCAGGGGAGTAACCACTAACAAGCCTTAATTGCAACAGACTGTGAGTTAAGTGCCTAGGTAGTGTTCAGTTTACACATTTTCACATCTAAATGTCTGTATTTTTGTAGACATTTCTAAGTTTGATGTTGAATGGCATTTTGCCAGGAAAAAAAAAAAAATACTTATAACAGTTGGGTGTTAAAATCCTACCTTCTGGGCAAACAGTGATTTAAATGTAATTTAATATTAAATGTATGTGCATGTGTTAGTAAATACATACTTGTAAAACAGTCACTGGTAGCACAGATTTGAAGTCTTTATATCAAGATGGAACATTTATAATATATCCAGTCATTACAACGTAAAAAAAAGGTCTGCTGTACTAGCAGCCAATATTGCTGAAATCAGCATTTTCACTCTGAAGTTATTAATATCCTGCTTATTGATTATCATCTGTTTCATTGCATCCTCAAGATGCCCCAGGCACAGATCAGATGCTATGTGCTGATCTGGACCCTCTATCTCAGTGACGTGAAAATGTTCAAGCCAGAACACTCTCGTTTACCGGCACTAGGACCTTACCGAGTTATTATGTTATTACGGAAAAGAAGAATACATAGGACAGTTTGCTACCTTTACTACCAAGGCCGCATTTTGAATCCCTCACTGAATCTGTCAATGCTTTTGTAACAATTTACAATATTTCATACAGAAAAGTTAATCCAAAAATTTAAGTACGGACTACATGTTAAGTTTTATATAAAAAATTATTTGATCTGAGCAGTTGTTTTTCTGACTAACTGAATCTTTTACAAAGTATTCCATTATTCACACACTTCAAAAGAGGGCTTCAATTCTGCTTAGTCAAGAAAGAGAGATTTAAATGGAAAAAGCAACTTCTATGCACAAAAGTCCAACTAAGAGGAAACATCCAGAAAACATTTAAATTACTCAGTGTCAGTATTTCCCTAAAATAAAATGTTAAGTATTAGACTCTCACTTGACAAGGAATGCTACGAGTCACATCTGCGGAAGTAAGTAAAAGAAATATATGCAAAGGTCAGGCAATATTACACACAGCAACTTAAAAAATCTTCTCTTATTATTTAGCAGCCTGGTCAATAGTCCAAGACCCTCAGGCTAGTAGGTCCCAGCCTTCATTTTTTTTAAAATTAACTGGAAGACATAGGTATCAGTAATTGGTGCAGTGCTGGAAGAAGCGTCGTTAAGAAGATGGCAGGTACAGCAATTCTTCCCTTGTGCTTGTTCCAAGCAGCAGTGGTAACTAAAACTTCTGGAGTTGCAAAAACTTTCTTCTGAAACAGGGATTTCATTTTAATAACATTTCCAAGGGAAATACTAGTTCTAACAAAATCAAGTGGATATTAGGACAAACAGTTTGTCCTAAAAATCTATATTTAGCTAAATCAAAAGATCTGTAATCTCCTCTCAACAAGATTTTAAAGCCTAGCACCTTTTATGAATTTTGTTCTAATTTATTTTTTTCCAGATAGTTCAACTAAGGATGCATTATGTAAGCCTATAAGTACAGGGTTTCTTCTGTTTTCTGTTCTGAGACAAATTAAAGGTCAATTTCCAGCATGTTATATTTTTCTTATTTTCTGAGTATTTACACATCTTGAAAATTAGGATAAAGGAGCTGAAATCTAAGGTTTTAGGGTAGCATTTATTTCACTGCACTGAAAACAAACAAACAAACAAAAAAGCCCAAACTTGCTGCATCTATCTGGTAGCAAATAAAATCACTAGCAAGGAATCACCTCTCATGTTTTCATGAAATAAATGTTAATTGTTGTCCAGATAGATTTTGCATATTTGCCACAGCTTAGCTATGAACTACTCACAGAAAATCCTAAGAACACAATGTGAACATAAAATGCTACTGTCTGTTGTCTAAAGACACCTCAGTTTCACAGTGGGGGTGTTGATGCTTCCAACCTTTTTATTACCTGAAAACCCATCAACAGCTTTATAATGACAAATGCAACACAGTTCAATTTGTATTTGCAAAACTCACTTTTAAAAATGGCAGATGTGTGCCAGCACATCTGGAAACCACTTTTAATTATACTTTCCTCAAGTGGGAAAGCAGTAGCTTGTACCCATAGTGAAGCTTTTATATCTGACCACACAAATGCTAGCAACCACCTGTGCTTTACACTGATTTTCATTATAGAGTATATCACATTACTACCCTATTATTCCAGAACGACATTTGAAGCTGTTGTGTGACTAAGCTGCAGCAAGTGTGGTCTTGAAAAGGCCTCTACTCTACAAAAATGTAATAAACTTGATTGCAGTTAGGGTACTTACCGCTGAGGATATCACAATATGCATGCTCCTAATGTTGGCTTCTCTTGCTCTGAAAGTCATAAAAGATATACATTAACAATCATGATTACCAGTCTGGGAATTGGAATTTAGCAAACTAATGTATGCCCCCAAAATGAGATACCTTGTAAGTATTTGTAATTCCTTTCCAATATTTGTTTCTTTCCTACTATTAATACAGGAGTATTATAGTCAAATACTTTGCTTCTTCGGCCATGCTCTGAGATTACAAAAAGCAATTTCAACTGTGATCTGTCAGCCTAACGGTATTTCAATTCTGTCATAAATATTTTCATAGGTTGCAAACATTGTGAGTTACATGACTAGGTTGGGCTTTCTAAACTTAACCTTCCTCCCCTATTCCCCTCTGTCCCACCCAAATGTAACAGCTTTTTTACATCACTGTTCCTCATTTCTGACAACAACAACAAAAAGATTTCAGATGTCTTTTCTTCTTTACAACACTCTTTCAATATTTTGGAAGAGTGTAATGTTGACACACAAAATTTTGTATATCATAGTGGAAGAGAAAGGTTGAGCATTTGTAACGCTCAGCCCTTGGGAGACCCGGCATGCCCAGGACAGACTCGTCAGAAATGGACACCAGTATGTGTAACTTTGCCAAATGTAAAATACACAATTTTACAGACTGTATTTTAGGATAATTTGCTATGCTGACCTGCACAATGTGCAGGCAACTGAAAAAAACCCCAAACATCACTTTAGCATAATTTAATCTGCTTATCAGTTACTATGCTTGAAAGAAAAGCTTCCACACTGTTATACGCCTAAAAAACCACATTCACCTGTCTCATATTTTCTGCCTTTAATTCAGGACTTAAGTTCTGCGGTAACTCATGAAGCCACAGAGAACCCCTCACGGGACTGAGCCCTCTCCCATTGCGCTGCCCACGTAACTTCACCGCGTGCTGCCAAGGGCTCTGGGACTGCAGCTGAAAGAAACTCGTCCCGCTTTGAGAAAGACTCAAAGCAGACCTCAGCCCAGGATCCCAAGACAGCCGCTACGCTCCGTCTCTACCAGGCAGAACAACAACCGATCTGTACAGTCGCAAGTACCTTGGCTTCGCTCCTGCCCTCCCACCGCTCTCCCCCCGCCACTACGCACAGCTGCACCGAGGCGCAGAAGCGTCCCAGTGCCGCTGTCTCACACCACCCAGGAGAGCTGCTGCTTCTGTGGCAGGCAGGACTCTGCGGGTCAGCAGAGAGGGAACAGCAAGATTTGCTTTAATGTACCTTTTTTTGTCATCTCAGAGCATCCCATGTGACACCTGGTAGGCATTTAAACGTTCACCCAACTATTATGCATTAAAATAATGTAGGGGGTGTTCACTGGGTCGTATATATAACTTTTGCAAAAATGTTCGTAATATTTTAAGAGATTGAATATGTTAACAGTCCATAACCCCGCTGCTGTAAAAGCATAACCGGACTTCACATTGCAAATACATTTATTATCCGTGCAAAGAAGGCATAATATTCATCCTCCTATTCTATAATCTGTGGTAACAATTTTAGATTGCTAAAAAAAATGTTCATTTCTGTGACTTGCTTAGACCTAAAAGAAAAAAGGATCGTGGTCTACTTCAAAATACAGGCACACTCTGAATGTAACTTGTTAAAGGTTTTCCAACTAAATACAGGGCAAACAAAGACTGAAGCACTCTACAGTACTCTACAAAAGATAAAAATATGCTTTTTTTGTTTGAAGATGGAGGTATTCTAAAATCAACCTTACTGAAAGAAAATTATGTCTAATTATCAAAATAATGTGAATTCATTTCATCTTGGACATACACTATCTAAAGCAGCACTTCAATAGGGATACACGAGAAGCCAGGTAGCTGCACTTTCTGAACTCTGCTTGAAATGGTGATGTGAATTGATATAATCAAGGTCAGCCACAAGAGTAATTTTTAGATGGGGAGAAGGACGAGGGAAAAGACTGCAAATAGGCAAAATAAGCACTCGGACATCTGCTTCTTTACAACACAAGGAAGGCATGTTCAAGCCTTTTACTCAGTAAACCTTCCTCTTCAAGGAGTGCCATTGAAGACAACGAAGCTGCTTGAGGAAGGTGGCAATGCCAGTCACGCTAGTGCCGTCAGGAACTAAGGGGGAAGAGGCAGCTTTTGGCATCCCGGAGCAGCCAGGTCACAGGGTGCTGGATCCAAAGAGCCACAAAGTCGGGGGGATTCTCTCTGCTGATTACAACGGGCACTAGATCAGCTCCTTGCTCTTATACATCTTTAACTATCCCACTCATAACGCTGTCATCATGAGCTTAAGGATGTGACTGGGAAGGAGAGCAGAAATGTCTTTGAAGTCATGAAATATATCCAGGATCCTGGATACCTGCCATTTTAAAACACTGAGTTGAACGCACTCTGCCTTAGCAGCAGGTTAACGGTCTGGCAGCAAGAAACAAACAAACAGAGAAAAAAACCCCACCATGGATGCATCCTCCCTGCCTAACTCCCTCTGATTCCAGGCATTTTGGGCACACTGGAGCCATACCCCCATAACTACCCAGTCAGGCAGACCGCACGCCTGCAGCCATGCCGGAGCCTGCCCATCGTGCCGCTGTCCCTGAGACCCACTGGAAACCAGCTCCAGGGCAAGGGGCTGGTGCTCGGGGCAGCACACATCTGCAAAAGGGAAAACACCTGGGCTTAGGTACAGGGTGTCAGGGAGACTGAGCAGGCAGAGGGATTACTCCTGGGAGCAGGGTACCGCTGACAAAGCCACAGCCGTTTTCCCCAAGCAGGGCTGATGTCGTGCCCGTTCTCTCCTACAGCGAACTGACTGAAAATACTAAAAAGTCTTTGCAATCCTATTGGTCCTGCCAAGGGAGCTTGACTGGCAGGACAATACATGTTTGTTCTCAATTAAAAACATTATTTGGGCACAGTAATTCTTTAAAAGCCAAGAGGAATATGATTTTGTGATTATAACCACAATTTGTCAATTGAAGCAAATGTTTTAAACTATCAAGGTTTGGTAGAGAAAGAAGAGAGAGGGAGTAATAACAAACACTAGTATGACTACATGTAGCCTTTATCCAGTCAGTGCAATTTTACTTGTATTCTGAAATCACTGTAGCATAATCACAAACCAAAATCATAATTGTAGTGAAAAACCACATATGACATGCTGATATGGAGGGATTTCATTAGCACATTACATTACTGGATACTGCAAGTAGTCTGCCTGCTATGTTCTCCTTTTCGTAAGAATACAGAGCAATCGTGACTATTCTAATACAGAAAAATGGGAAGCAGAGCAAGAAAGAAATGGAGAGAATTTGTGTTAAATTGGATTTTCTTGTCTCCTCCTGTAGTTTTTATCACCCAGATGACAAAACATTATCATTAGCAGTTTATACCAAAAGTTAACATTTGCCCATCGTTTTCTATTTTCTCTAAACCACAAAGGTTGGAGCCTGTTATGCGCTCCCCTTATCTTACTCTGTTACTTTAGAATCTAAGAGCGCACTGTGCACATTAATCTTTCATGGCAGAGTTCACTGAAGTTCTGCCAAAATTCAATAATTATGTTCCATCCAATGCAGCAATTTATTTATCTCATTGCTGGAATTTAGAACATATAGAACAAAGTGCTTAGTTTATATGAATGAAATGCTTGCTAAACCCTCCCCCCCACAAGACAAAACAAAACAACCCTGTTTCATTTCTAAAGTTTTAAAACACGCAGTAGAATCTTTTGAGGAATAAAGCTATTTTTACAAGACCTCATGTTTTCTTGATAAACTGAAAGTGTTCTACAATGTGTTTAGGTTTTTTTTTTTTCATATAAGTGAAAGTTTTTTATAAATACATTTGTAACTTTTATTCACGTGTATAACAATATGTACCACTTACACTGCACCACTAAACCATGAAATATTAATGTCTAACGGTCATTAAAAATGCCAACTACAAAGCAAGAATTTGTATTTTAAATGGAGAATAAATTGGTTTGCTGCACTGAAATGGGTAACTGGGAGTTCAACAGTTCTATGGACTAAAATCTAAGATACAAAATTACAACAAAGTTAAGCTTTATAATTGCAGTCTTTCATGATATGTTTGCAAACAAATAGAAAACATAAAGCCCTCCAAGTAGGAAGATTAGAGACACGTTATTCCTGAGGGCTGTTAAAAATAAAAATGGCATAATGGAGAATACTTAATATCCTTCACCTTTTGTAGTCTCAGGAAAAGTAACTAACCAGTTATTCATCGACCTAACTGTAAAGAAGAAACTTTAATCTACCAGTTTGGGATTTAAAAACAGAATATGGTGTCTATACGTTTTAAACTTTACACTTAACACTTATGAATACAGAATGCTGATTTATCTGATGGAAACATGACTTCTTTGTATGTTCATACAGACAATACATTTCTTGATGAAGGAAAATGTTAATTTAGTGTCTGCAATCAGAAGCCAAATTTATAATATTTTCAGTTTTTAAGCAAAACTCTCTGTTACCTCATATAGTAGATTTTACACTTCAGGCATGTTATCAGACAAAATTTGACTCTGGATTTAGAAAGTGCTTACAAAGTTTTTGGAGCGTAACTTGCTGTGATTTATAACACAACCCTTCACCAACCAAAACAGAAATGAAAACCTCTAGAAGTAGTGCACTAGCATGTGTTCATTATTTCACAGTAAAACCTTCTCAGTAAAAGTGGGAATATCACAGTAAAACATTTTAAAGTTAGTTTTGCAGTAACTAGATGTGTATATGCATATTTTAAATTAACTGTACCTAATTTAGTAACTCAGGAGAGATTACTTCCACACACCAGCAAATAAATTCCATAACAATTTGTGAAAATTCTACTATCACATTTACTTTTGCACCCAGTATGGTCATTTTCTGGCAATGCTTTACATTAAAATAGGAATCAACTGTAATGTATTTTTCCCTGTTGTAAAACTTTTTAGAAATCCCAGAAAAATGCAATTAAGTCCTATGCATTTTATTTTACTAATGTTCTCCTCCTACTTTTTTCAACATCTTACTCTTGTCTGCTTTCTTTCATTGTAAATACAACGTGCTACAGTTAAACTCGTAGGAGACTTTCGAGAATTGTAACTCAGTCTCCTGCAACGTAACAATGAACAAACTCTCCCAGGCAAGTTATATGAAAGTACAGATACTGAAGAGTCTATAAAGCTCGAGTTTTTTCCCCAATCTAGCTATATGTCTTTCATTATGTAATAAAGGAAACACACACACACACATACACCTTACAGAAAATGTACGGTTTAACAGAAGAAAGACAATACCTGTAAAGCCCATTTTAACAGCAGGAACTACTGCAAAAGGGATCAAGGCTGGGGGGGCAGGGGAAGGTGCGAAAAGGCTGTTCCACATTGATATTGCTGCTGAAGTATGGTATTGCTTATAAGCAAACAACACATACAGGAAGAAACGAGCAACTCCTCGGCTATAGCCACAAGTGCTGTTATGTAAAATAAAAATACCTAACAAAAATGCTGCCTAACGCATTTTGTCTTTACATTGAATGCACATGGAAAAGACACTAGGGTAGAGTATAGACAGCATGTAATCGGAGGTCCTTAATTTCCAATTGCTGGGTTGCTTTGTTAAATACAGATTAAATTCACAAAACGTTCAAGTGTACAATAATAATGTATTCACTTACAGTGCCAGACTTGTTTATATAATATCAGCGAGGAATAATCACCCATTTATTGCACTGATGATCTCCACAAGTTTTGAAACTCTGAGCACTCTTGAAATGTGAACTTTCACAGCTCCTTATTAATGTTTAGACTAACTCCCTTTCCCCCTTTTAAACAACAAAGGACAACGCAGCTCCTGCTCCCTGTCTCACAGATCAGACCCATACCCAGACTTCAAGGAATCGGGATAAATCCAAAGGTACATCCGAGATTTTCCTTGCAAATTTCCCCCCAATGGATCTAGGCATGTATTTTTTAAACAGTTATATCAAAAAGCTTCACTCGCACAATTCAAACAAAGAAACTTCTCGAAAATGTCATTACTTACTGTTCACTGAGCATAATTTACTGAGATTAAAAGTTTAAAGATTCATCTGCTTTACGTCCACAAGGGTTTTAAGCAACCCCTAATACTGTATCCTGCTTAAATGTGACAATTAGGGCTGCTTTGGCATGTTGAAAAATATAAAGGTACCAAAGATCCTCATTATGCCTTAGCTCCCTGTAGCCTGGTTTTTGGAGGTGCGTAAGCTGCGGAAATTCAGTATGATAATAGCAACAATTTGGTACACGAGGAAAAAACACACACACACACACACCCCTGAATGCTTCAGATATACTGTATAAAGTCATTTTGACATGCCTACACAACTGGTTGTGGCAGCTTTCAGACATGATTCCTAATCACAAAAAAATGCTTCAGGTTCTTTTAGAGAAAGCTTGCCGTTGGGAAGTTGATTTTGGCCAAGTGCCAAAATCATGTGCAAAAAGGGGCCCTCATTACCAATTCATGGCAGCCTTCAGCGCTGACAAAAAATGTGACCCAACAGGCTAAAGCAACAACTAAAATTAAAAAGTATGAGACAAAGACAACTTACTTAATATTCCTTCCATCGCCACATTAAACTTTTCCGTAATTAAACCCTTGTTAGTTCAAAGCAGTTTTCAACTACTTTTAAATGATTGCACAGGCAGTCAGTAACAGTTGAAAGCTTTCCCTGTAAATTCTTCCTAGCTACTCCACTTTTAAGAGCAGTTGGGTCCGACAGCAGAACTTTCTGCTGTGCGCCTCTGCAAGAAACCCCTCTCCAAAAAGAAGCGAGGCGCCCGCGCGTATTTCAGCGAAAACTAAGCAGATCATTACAAGATTTTGCAAGCGTTAAAGGCATAGGAGGAGTGAGGAGGGGGGAGGAGAGAAAGGGCTCGGTACACGGGAGCAGCTATTTCCTAAACTTTCTGAAAAAGCTTATCAAAACGGGCATGCAAACATTAAGCAATTGCAATTAACAGCGCTCGCTGCACCACTATCCCATAAAAGCAGATTTGATACACGGCCTTACCTAGATGTCGTCTGGCTTTTCTGTGGATCAAAAAGTTTCCTGCCTAAGCACAGAGATATTCTTTCACAAACCATAAAGGCCCCTTTTATTAATCCAGCACTGTAACAGCCCGCTTTCTACACCACGTTGAGAGCAGGATGCGTCAGCTTTCGAGAGAAAAAAGTCTTAATACACAATTAGTGGCAGATTGTATAATAGTGGATTTATCTTAAAGAGTGAAAAGGCATTTTTTAAAAAGCAAAGAGGGTGCGGTCAGATGTTAGGCTATCCCTGAGAAAAGGGGCCTAGGCTGCACTAGTACCTAAATACTAGCAGAAGCTTACTGGGAAGGGAGCCAATGGAATGACTTTGTTTGACCCAGCTGCCAATCTCTCCTGAAGCACTGCGCCAGACTAAACACTGACACTATTTTAACTCAAATCAGGCTACAGCAGCTGTTTGCTTTCCGGCTCTCAGCTATGCACCATGGCCATGATGACTCTGCACAGCACATATGATAGAGCTGGGGCACTTCTGCTAAAATATGTTCCATGTTTGGACTGGTGGTATAGAAGCAGGGGCTGGGGGGGCTGCTGTTTTGGGGGTTTCTTTCTTCCTTTTTTTCTTCTTTTTTTTTTTTTAAACATCCCTGCCTCCATTTTCCCCAAAGCAAAATAAATATGAGATTTGAGGCTCGCAGAAAATTCGGCATTGTGAGTCAGGTGAAAGGAGAAAAGTTACTGCTTGGGACTGACAAGAACCAGAATACATTATAAAGGTGTGCACGTGCATGCATGACTCCAAAATCCATCTACAACCTGAATTTATTTATTTTCCTCTTGCTAGTTGCTCTAAAATTGTTCAGCATAAAAAAAAATCAACAGATTCTCCCTCTCACTCATTTTTAACTGTAAAATGAAAGCAGGCATTACATGTGTGCATACATGCACACATTTACATATGCATCCAGATTCTGATCTAAATTACACCAGTGCAAATTGCACTGTAGGCAATGAAGTTATTACAGGTTAAAACTGAGGGTGGAATTTGATAGCCAATTTACGTATGAAAGTATATGAGACTGAAAAAACACATAAGCATTATTAGTAATAGGTATATGGCAAGGAGGTTGGCATGTCTTTTCTAATTCAAAAAAAGTCAAAGAAGAGTTGCAGCAACAGAAACAAAGCGCATACACATGTTAAAATCCAATGTAGGCTTCTGAAGTACTGGGTGTGCAGCACAGTCCAACACAGCACCTACAGTATTGCAGCATTTGTACCTAAACTCAGCCGCAGTACTTAAGCCAAATCTTTGTTTCCTCTCACCCTGCCACGGAGTGTTGCTGGCTGTTCCCAAAAACTGCATGTCATGATAATTTCCTTGTTCAGTAAAAAAATCAGAAGAATACCTCCACCTAAAACCAAAAGGCATAGAGAGGGAACCCAACCCTTTTTATTTAATATAAAAGTGTGAGACTTATCTTGATACGGAGTAAAGGACAAGGGGAAGGTCTGGCTCCTGACATCTGAATGCCTTCAATAAACACTGCTGCATATCTCAAATTCAGTATTAATACTCAACAGAGATAATGAGGGGAAAAAGAAAACAAAACAGAAATGGAAAACAAAATAAAATAAAAAAAGAAAAAAAAATATCTAAACAGTGAAAGCGGAGCCTGTTGCTCTGTCTTAGGCTGTTGTGCACCAACTGATTTCCATGAGCTGTTCAACAGCCTGCTACCAAAAACCAGTGGAAGTCATTGATATTGCACAAGCTCAACTCTCGTTAACTACCTGCCCCTCTCACTGGTCCTCAAGTATATTAACAGTTTAAGAAAAGATCCTGTAAAGATCTTAAATAATCCACCATAAAATGAATAAGGATTACAAATGAAAGAAGTAATGGTTAGCACAACAAATGTCCAATATTCCTATCTAACATAAGAACTGAAATGGAAGAGGAGACCTGCATTATGTCTGAAACAGCAAGAAAGAACATGCAATTACATTTACGCTAAGGAGGAAGTTACAAGAAAGGCAGTTACCTATACCTGAGAAGTCCGAAATCTTAAAATGGCAGACAGGTGGGACAAAGCCAACTGTTTTACAGTCCCTCTCTTCTCTCTCTAAGGAGCACAGCAAGCATTTATCATGAGATGAATTTGCAGGCGCCCTAAAGAAAATGAGACTCCTCAGCAAGGAGAGTGTGTGCCCTGTGAATTCACACCTTGCGTGGCACCAGACAAGAAAGGCAATACTGCAGCGATAGGTCTAGAAAGATATTAACAACACTGAACTTAGCAATGCTGGAAAAGAACAAAAGTACAAGATAAGAAACAAAATGCAGGCTGGAGTGAAGCTTTGCCAGCTCCTTGAGGCACAAAAGAAGGTAATATGGCCAGAACAACAGACAGAGAATTTACTAACAGTGTTACTATGGAACAATGTTGTTCTCAGTGAAGCCAGCAAGGAACTTATCCAAGACAGGACAAGATCAGGATGTGGATAAACGATGGTGGATAGACACTTAAAATACTGACATAAAAAAGACAAGACTACACTTAAAGGTGGAACACAAAGGCTTTTCATTCAAAGACAGTATAATTAGCAGAAAGCTCATGCAACCTTCTCCTTCTTGGAAAGCTAAATGAAAAAATTTATTCCTGTTTCGGTTTGTGAGGGTGGGTCCTCTTAGCGTCATTTTGATTTGTAAGTTAAATACTCTTGTCATAATTGCTCCAGGGCGGCTGCAGGAGAGGAAGGTGGTATCTGGCATTTCTTTTGCTTTTAAATGAACTTTTGTCAGCCTTGGGCAATGCATGAAGAAACATAGGGAAGCACTGGAATAGGTAACTAGTAGAGCTTTGCTGATGAATACAAATCTCTTTCCTTCTAGAAAACTGTGTAAAATTCTTATTATCTTATAAATGAAGTATTCGTACAGCTAAGCATATTTGCAGTTCCTGTTGTAGAAAATCTCTAGTTGCTCCTAAAAGGGTTCTCTGTTAGAAATAACACATTCATTCTTTTTACCTTGATTTTGAGGTTAGGGAGCTGACTGTGTATGTGATTACACTGTGTGCATCTATGCCACCTAAAATCGCTTCAAATCATCGGCCAATGTTGATCAAATTTAAGATCAGAGGTTTCAGGTGTATTTTTGAGAAACTCAGTAGCTTTGAGATCTCCATCCCATATCAAATATAGGTCAAATGAACGGAGGAGAGAAATTTTGCTGGCATCCTCACAAGCAAATATGGAAAATCTGTAGAAGAAAAAGACCTTCTAACTGCTTCATTACTTCAGAGTAAAAACTTCCATCAGACCCACACACAATTTTAAATATCAAAATTCAATTAACTTCAAGAAATGAATCCATAGGAAAGTAGGCTTCACTGGTCATGAACTACCTTTGTTTTGTTGGGAGCTGGTAGAAAGCATATTGGACATATCATCCAAAGGCTTTTTTTGTTTGTTCGTTTTGCTTTTTAGTTTCAGCTACTCAATTGGAGTGACTTATTTTTGCCCTCATTTCTTCTATGTTTAGTACCATAATTTTGGCCCACTACTTTATGACCAATGATTCCTTACTTCAAGTCAATTGTAAATCTCTAATTGATTTCAAAGGAATCAGGATTTTATCCTTTTCATCCCCGAGCCATGAGCATATTGCTAGAGGGTCCCAGAAAATTATGCATGTAGAGCACTGTGCAGCAAGCACTGTGAGGTGATTAGTAACTTTCAGCTTCCACTTGTGCATCAGCCGCTTCTGGAAGAGACGATGGCCAAAACTATGACATAACATTGCCATTCATATATGCCACTCTAGCATCGGAGACTCTGAGCTCCTACAATGCTGTGCTGTTCACCTACTGAGCCTTCTACTATCTGAATTTTCAGTAACTATCACTGCTAGGCTGGAAGCTTTTCACCAGTAAGAATCACTGGGGGGAAGAGGAAAAAAAAGAAATGAAACATAGAACAAAACTTGCATTTCAGTATATCAGCTACTTCAGGTGGGCAAGTTAGATTTTTCTAAAACCAAAGCTGACTTCAAAGAACTTTATTTCCCCACCTACTCCATTAATACATCACACACCACTAATTTTATTAATACGTTTAATTTATAATATGCTTATTTTAAGCTGGAAGACAATGGTAAAATACAAAGGCAGAAAAAAGGAAAG